AAGAATACAGTCTGGAAGAGAACCAACAGCAGGGTGCTGTGAGTGTCCTGGGCAGAATCTTATCTATTCCTATTTCCTGAACATACTGTCATGCTATATTCCAATAAATATTTTTTCAGCAAACGTTAAAGAATCAGTCAACAGAATTAGTCTTATTTTCTCACATGTTAAGCATTTTATCTTAAACACGTGAGTCTGGAGTAGCCTTCGTGTCCCTTGGCAATACAATGAGGAGAATCAAACTTCTCTGTTTACACAGCAGAGTACATGTTGTGAACATGAGACTAATGCAAGATACACACGTTTCACGGGTCAATGTTCTTTGAACACTGTATCCTGACTTACTGTACATTGATCATGTGTCGCTGGGGAGCTAAGTGAAGGCGGTAGTGTGATCTGGATTCGCCAGAATAACTCTCTTTTATCTAACCATGTAAGGCAGAAGCAGCTCACGGTTCCTGTCTGTGTTGCAAACATGTTTCTAAATTCTACTCCCACAGATACCCTGGGCTATAGGATTAAATTCTCAGCCCAGGGTATATGTCGGAGTAGAATTTCATCTATTAATGTCATCAATTAACAATCACAATTAATTATACTAGTTACTGGTACATTAGATCCGCTGGTAGCAACTGCGATTAAGATACTTTAACATTTATTCTCAAAGCTAAAATCCTCAGCTGCAGAAAATTTGCTTCTGAAGTTGCTCAGGTTAAAGTTCCCAAATCTTTAGTTCTCACACTATAATTCAAATTCTATAGAATTGATAAATCATCTATATGACCAAATTAGAAGAGTATTTTAAAAAATCTTCTAGATATTCTTTTCAAACTCAGAATACATGAAAAATCACTTAGGGACTGAATTGAAATTAGTATCCTTACAAAGGACATTGCCGTGGATCTGGGATGATTTTCTACACGGGACTCCAGCATTCAGAAAAATTTAATGCAGCTCTGAAGAGTGACTAAGTTTCATCAAGGCAGAAGCAAAACCAGTCAGACAAATCTGTGGTAACTAATGACTGCTTGAAAAAACATGGAACCCATCACAGAGTACACACTGATAAAGCATCAATATCATGTGACATGAGTGACAATTTTCCTGAGTTAATATATTTTTCTTTTTGTTTTTGGCCGGGGCTGAGTTTGAACCTGCCACCTTCAGTATATAGGGCTGGCACTTTACTCCTTTGAGCCACAGGTGCGGCCCTGATATATTTTTCTTAAATATTACTATTTATTCTGTTGGTTACCACCACGCTAGACCTCATGGTTTCATGAAATGCTTTTTTTTTTTTTTCTATACAGCTAGTTGATTTTCTCAAAAGGATTTTTTTCCTTCTTTCCTTAGGTAAACATTCCATAGTAGTAGATCATACAAGGTTAGGGAACTAGATTGAAATTATGGAGTCTGGCAGAATTTGGTCCAAATATTATTCAGTCCCTGGAGGTACCAGGTAATAACATTTCAACGTAGATAACTGAACTTACCTATGCAGATGGTTCCATCATTCGTGATGAATCTGTCCTGGTTACTGCTGGATCTGAAACCAGGGGCACACATACAATAGTAACTTCCCTCGGTATTAGTGCAATTAGCGTTTTCACCACAGGACTGGGTTAAATTCCCACATTCATTATCATCTGTGGACAAATCAATTGCAAATATTATTTTTATAATAATAAAAAGCTGA